CCGCTGGGTTTCCTGCCCCGCTTCCTGCCCCCGGTCAGCAGGATTGTGGGGTTGTTTACGGCCCGATGGCGGCGGTGATAAGCGATAACGTGGGGCCCAGGACGTGCCACGGTGCCCTCCGGGCCCGGCGAGGCCCTTTCCCAGGGTCCGTCCCCCAGGGGGGCGTCAGTCAGCACAGGGTGGGCGGGGCAGGCCTCTCCTTTGGTGCCTGGATGGACAGCGGGACTGCCCACACTCCCAGTGGGCAGCTGGCCCGGCCACTGCCCACTCTCCAGACCCCCGGGCAGGTGACCCCACCTCCGTGGGCAGCACAGGGGGTGAAGATGGCACAGACCAGTCCCCCCAAGTGCCACGTGTGCAGAACGTGGCTGGTCCCCTGTGGCCCGCCACCCTGACCACGGCCCAGCCAGGGCTGGTCCTGCTAGGCCCCTGGGTGGTGTCACTCCAGCCCTGGAGGGTCACTGCTCCGGGGGACCCCGTCACCCACCCGCTGTCGCCCTCCCAGAGGACACCGGGCTCCCGGTTGTGCCGAGAGCGGTGGGCAGAGCCCTCAGAAAGGCCGGATAGCCGGGCAGGGGAGGGAGGAGGGCGAGCGCATCTGGAAGGTGGGAGGGGGTACCCCAAGGCTGCACTCAGGGGTCCCCCAGCAGAAGCTGCCATGGCCAGGCCAGTCCAGGGCCGGTGAGGAAGCTGGGGTGCCCTGGATCAGCCCCTGCCTCCTCTGGAAGCCCCAACACAGGGTGCCCCACTGTCCTGGGCTCCGCCCGCCCCTCCCCCTCACCCCATGTGCCCTGCAGGGCATGCCCACCCTTTGTCCCTGCCCCAACCTCCACAACTGAGGCCAGGGATCCATCCACGAGTGGCCGAGCCCAGGGCCCCGGCTGGCCTGGTGGGCTGACCACTCCCGGGCTCTGTTCCCATCCTGCCAGACGGGGCCGTGCCTGGAAGGGGCGGGCAGCAGGCCGCTCAGGCCCGTGCTGACCCAGGGGCCAGGCCCAGCGTGGGAGCCCCATGGGCACCTGGACAGCGGCCTCCCTTTCGGCCTGCCCCCGGGGACTGGCCCTGGAG